TTATCCCCAAATGGCAAATATCCATCCCTCCCTCACAGAAAAAGTGTATAACAAACGGATACATCTGAAAATATTTAGACAAAAAATTAGAAGTCATTTTATGTGAATTAAAAAGTGCCTAATAGAAGGAATATAATATATATATATATATATATATAAGAAAAGAAAAGGTCAAGCAACGCATAGGTGGATGGGCCAATAAATATCTCCAGGCTCCAGTACCTTCCACAACATTCTCTACATCTTCCAGAAGCCACCGACTTTTTCTGTTTCTCTCTAGAAACTACTCTTTCTTCTTCCTCACCAATTCATTTCACCACCTATAAATATATACAATGCGATCCTCCATGTATCTGCAACCAAAAATCAAACTACTCGACAAATCAAATAGCTCGCCTTCAAGTCGTCGGAGAGAGAAAGATGGATGTAAGGATGTTTGAATTAGAGTCACCTATACTGTCGTCGCTGCGACAGTTGATGGAGCTACAAGATACTGAAACAGAGAAATCATTCAACGCTCCGACAAGAACCTACGTGCGAGACGCCAAGGCCATGGCGGCAACTCCTGCTGACGTGAAGGAGTATCCAAACTCTTACGTCTTTGTTATAGACATGCCGGGCTTGAAATCTGGGGATATCAAGGTTCAGGTGGAGGATGACAACGTGCTGCAGATCAGCGGGGAGAGGAAGCGGGAGGAAGAGAAGGATGGAGTTAAGTATTTGAGGATGGAGAGGAGGATCGGCAAGTTCATGAGAAAGTTTTCTCTGCCGGATAATGCAAACACTGATGCGATATCCGCGGTTTGTCAGGACGGTGTTTTGACCGTCACTGTCCAGAAGTTGCCGCCACCGGAGCCCAAGAAGCCGAAGACGATTGAGGTTAAGATTGCCTAAGGTGTGATAAACTACGTAAATCTAGTTTTTGTTGGTGTACGTGCTGTTTCCGGATGTATGTGTTCCGAGTTTGGTGTGTTGCATCGTAGTTTCTTTCTCTTCACAGTAAAAATGTGATTTCATGGTTTTCATGTAATCCTTGTGTGAGTGATAAGATAATGAAAGAGTAAAAATAATTTCTAACAATTTCTGGTGCGAGATTGATGTGATCAGTTCAAATTTAACCACATTTTAAACAAATTAGTACCTAAAAATGGAACAGAACATCTCTTCCTCTTGAGACTTGTAATTGTGGTCCCGGATTTTAGGCGGACTTTAGAAGGTTCTTCAACGTGCTTGGTGAACAGAGCGATGAAAAATCCTTCTTTGTCTTCTACTGGATCAGTTCGTAGCAAATGTTGAGCTGCAAACACAATAAAATCAAGAGGGGGATTCGGAAGATAAAATTTAGGGTTTTTTGAGCAAACGCACTTTACCTCCTTCAAAAACTGGGAGGCCACGTCGATGCCAGTGAGGGAAAGGAGTCCCCAGGTTGAAACCGTAAGATTCAGCAACAGGTAACACAGATTTAATCACATCTTCATTTTCAATTTGATGGATAGAGCACGTGCTGTAAACAACTCTTTCTACTCCTGGAACTATACCAGCAACATTCCATAATTTTATTGATATATATAGTTATGAATATATTCAATAAACATAAAGTTGAGTCACGAAGAAGTCAGGATAATTTGATTTACGAAGAAATGCTTGCCATTTTAACATGCCTAAGTTTTTAAGTCAGCGCTATTAATGATATCGGAGCAAGGTTCCAGTATGGTGACTCTGAACTGCTGTGGTCTTTAATAAGCTTTCTGTTATGATTTGAAATTTGCATGATTTATGGTCTTATAAGCGTATCAAGTACCTTAGTAAAAAAGATGTGATACTCGTGTCCCCATTGAAATGGTTGGTCATTTATAAGCTTTACATGAGTATTTATATCACTCACTATTAATAACTAAAAGTCATGTTAAAGATTATTTATTTAAGTCCAAAAAGTTATTTGAAAGCATATAAATAGTATGAAAGAATATGTTAATCAACACTTATGATGTATGACCTTTAAAAAAATCTAAAGATATCAGGAAGACAAGATTGTTGAACTCCCATATAAAGCTTCAGCCCACTTAATGTCAATCATTGAGAATGAACCTAAGCTTTTCACGGTCAGTTTAAAAATTGTTAGGTTAATGATGTTCATGCCTTGAAAAGTAAGAATGGTATTAGAATTAGGCTCCAACTTACTATCACTATAATGTTAGAAATTGTGTCTACAAAATTGCAATTTGACTGTGAGTTGCCTTAATGAGGACATCAAAAATTTATGATGATAACTGTAATAATCCGAGGCTTTGTTAAAACTATTAATAATTCACGAAGTCTTATGTAACAGCACAAGTCATTCACTTACTAATTTGAGTTTTACCATTTGATGGTTAATAAATTAAGCCAAAAAATTATCAAGTCAATAGTGCTTAGTTCTAGAGGATGACCGATGAAAAATGATTCTTAAGTTTAGATTACCAAAATAAATTAGAAATAATAATTCTACTAAATATCAAAGTATTATACTATTTAGGATTTGAAGGATTACTGAGCCTTTTATTTATGCTACCTAAACATATAATGCAACCCAAATGAAAGACATTTACTTCAAACCATCAGTTCAAGAAAAAGTATAAGCAAAAGTAGACACTTGCTAAAGACTTGAAGTAAACTTACAAGAAAATGCATGTGTAAGAGCCTTCTTTTGAAAGGTTGCAAGTTTGTTCAATCTCCTTGTCTCGTTGCCATCAGAAGAATGACCTATGTTATTCAAGATAGCAACGGAAATTAGAAAAGAATAAAAAAGTATATAATCTGGAACTGAGTTTCAGATTGGTTAGCAGGATGATATCTTCATTCAATGTGAGTAATCAAGTCTTAATATTGATAAAATATTGCCCCTCTTGGAGTACATAAAAAGAATAAAGCGTTTAGTCCCATTGGCGTCCTTTCATTAACAAGATATGTGAAGTCTATAAGCCAGGGAAGACCTCTACTTACCTGCCTCATAAGAAGGAAGCAGATGATCCAATCTCTCAGCAGCAGTTCCAGATCCAGAACAGGAAGGATCTAAAACAATAGCACGGACCTGCAATATGAATTTCAATGTAGTTCCAGAAGACACTTATTAAATGTATCTTCTTCACTCTCTCACTTTCCTTCTTGTGCGCTTAATAATTTCTTTTGCCAAGAAAGTAAACTTTTTCTCTTGTTAACATAATTCAATAAAATAAAAAAGATAGCATCATATAAGAAATTAAGGAACGAAAAACAAGAAGGAATGACATGTTGCAAGGAATTTCAGATGATAACCGCTAAGGCAATAACTTTTGGCTGAACGCAACTAGTTGGCATAAGAAAAATCATGCTGATTTCTGCTAGATCAGATTCATTGACTTCCGATTAGTCCCAAAGTTTTGTCATTAAATTAGTGCATGGTGATAATTTTGTTGTAAGAAGCAAATAAAGCAAGTGATTCAAGGAGTATTTTCAACAGCTGATAGAAAAATAGTGGTTAAAATGTTAATTCACATGTTGTAAAACCACTGGGAACCCAAACAACCATTGTTGTCAGAAATCAAGATCATGTTTACCTTGGAGAATGAAGGATCATTTGGATTTAGGCTCAAAAAATCTCCATGCATAACTTCAACATCTAGTAGCTGGGTTAAGATCTTGAGATAAAAAAACATCAGATAAACGTGCTAAAAGTCTGACTACCAAAGTACACACGAAATTATTATAATTCTGTATGACAGATCATGATGATGATAATAAAGTCCGAACAGTATAAGTAGCAGTTCTCGAATAATAAAGAGACGAGCATTTAAAGAGCAGAAAATTCAGATAATTATAAAAGGATACTAGATGCCCCAGATAATTTGATAGTATCTTTAAGGCGCTTGAGCCTTTCCCCATTTAATTCACATGCGATAACTTTTCCCTTCCCCCTCATGAGGGCAGCTACATGAACGGTTTTGTTGCCAGGAGCTGAACATGCATCAAGAACCTTCAAGTAAAATTCAAACGCATCCCGTGAGCAGCTTGAAGAGACTAAGACTCTAAGAAAAGGTCAAGTCCTGTGTCATTTATGTATTTGACCAATTCTAGATAACTGCCACCAATTTTATAGCTCAAAGCAAGCATTCAATAAGAAGTTCAAAGTAACTAATGTTTTCACTCCTCTCACCCCCCACCCACCCCAAATGCAGACATGTAAATGAAACCTGCAATGGTCATTTGCTCTGTTTTTGGTGACCTGTTCTGCTTTGTTTCAGCAGCAATTCTCTGTTTTTCAGCCTTTGTCGTGCATCCTGCCTCTGGCCACAGATCGGTCACCTCAGGCCGTCATGCACCGCCCTGCTCAGCCATGAGTCATGACTAGCCTTAATCGCTGGTAGTATGAAGCTTTTTTAGATCAGTCTTCATTCTGAAATTTCTTTTTCTAGTTGCACAACCTTCGTAGTTAGTTACTACAACTAAAGGCCTTCATTGCCTAAAATACTTCTTTCGATCACATCTTAGATCATCTTACAAACCACAGGTACAGATTTATTGGTACATTCAGGTACGTTTTCTACCTCACATATACTAAATGTCTGATAGAAACCCTTTTTCACTGTCTTGGATTATAAACTCGGGAGTTACAAATCATATGAACAACTTCTTTAAGTACTTTAAAAAACCGATATATCGTGTCTCAATAATGAGAAATAGTTACTGTCCATTTTATACTTACTGACGTGCTTCATGTTCCAAAATTATGCACAAATCTCTTTTTAATAAACAAATTATCACATGATTCTAAACTGTAAAGTGATTTTTTTCATTGCGATTTTCAGGACTAGACTTCAGGAATGATGGCACATGTTGAGGCACGGACTGGGTTGTACTTTTTGGATGTACATAAGATGTTACACTCTGCTGTCACTGTTAGTACCTTACACAAGATATGGTTACACGTAGACAATTAGGATAGCTGTTCTTTTCATCCTCAAAGTTACATTTCCCTCCTTATTTAAAGATTCCACTAACAGAAATTTACATTATATGTGTGCGAACTGGCAAAACACAAAAAGTAAATTTTTCTCCGTAATAAAAGAAACAATCTTTCTTTTACATTAATTCATCAAACATTCCTAATATTTCTGGGGCTAGACATAAGAAGTGATGGACTTTCTCAAAGAAAAGAGGCATGTGGGATACAAGTGGATATTTATTATAAAATACAAGACATATAGAACCATAGAGAGACGCAAAACAAAACTGATGACTAAGGGATACACTCAAACTTATGATAGACTACCAAGAAACTTTTATACCAACTGCTAAGATGAATACAATGCAAGTCCTACTGTCCTCAGTCGCCAACTTTGATTAGCAATTACTGCAATTTATTGTAAAGAATGTATTTCTGCATGCAGATCTGGAAGAAAAAATTTATATGAAAATTCCTCTAATATTTCCAAAGAGGCAGGAGCAAATAAAGTGTGTAGACAAGAAAAAGCACTGTATGAGCTCAAGCAATCACCAATAGCATAATTTGGAGGATTCGCAAAGGTAATGCTGACAAACAAGTACAAGCAGAGTCAGCAAGGCCAGATACTGTTTATCAAGTACTCAGACTCTCCTTGAGTACATTGATGATATCATTATTACAGGTGATAATGAAAAAGAAAGATAGGTGCCCAAACAATATCTAGCCAAGAATTTGAGTTAAGATATTTCCTTATGATAGAAATGGCTCATTTGAAGTCAGAATTTTTATTTCCCAGCAGAAGCATATTAGTGATTTCTTGAAGGACACAGGTAAACTGAAATGCAAACTGGCTTGCACACTAATGGATCCCGATCATAAGCTGGGACTAGAAGAGCAAGACACAGAAGTTAATAAGGCGATATACTAGAACTTGGTCGGAAGACTGATATATTTATCACATACGCGACCAGACATTACCTTTACAGTTAGCGTGACAAGTCAGTTTATACTTAACCCTAAATAAGTACATTTACAAGCTAGTTTATGTACACCTCATAACTTGTAACTTGCAGATACATCAACAAAGGGCTTAAGTAGTCCTGGATTCCAAATAATTATCACGAAACTGAGAACTAACAATATCTATTCACCAACTTGAGGGGGAGTATTAGAAAATATATATTTATGTAATTAGAGCAAAGAATATATTAGTAAAATATTTGTATATTTAATTAATTATAAGTTTCCTCTTTTTACCCCAAGAATATGCATATATAAGGCCTCCTTATTCAATAATAGACAACAACAATTCCATTCTTCCACACAAAAATTCAAGTTGTTCAACAAAATATTTTGAGAGTTTCTAAACTTTCTGGATGTTTCATGCAATCAGACCTTTAAGGACGATCTTTAAGACTTTTCAGATGTGATATCTAACAAACTTTAGATGTGATGTTTAGATTTTTTATCACCAAATCCTTAATTGAAAAATTAGCCCTAGTTGTCCTATATCAATCAAATATATGACACTATGACAATCCTATTATGGTCTCAGTCCATTCCTTAAAAATGTTTATATCGTTCAACTCATTCCATTCAATGAACCAAATGAGCTCATAGTGAGCAACATAAATACAAGAAGGTTGCTCACCTCCCATCCAGGTTTAGGATCAAGAACTGCTGCCACCATAGAGCTTGCCCTCCCCTACAAAAATATGCAATGGTGATATACTGATACAATCCAAAATAAAAAGCAGAGAATAAGAAACTAATACCACTGACATTTAAACCAATTTCTTCTTCCAATGCTTTCTGAAATTAATTGAACCCTTACTTGCAAAAACACACTTCCATTCATGACCAGAGGATGACTATGCAAATCACTGCCAGGGGGGAGCATGAGTAAGTCAGGAACCATATCATCTTTCAGTACCTATTCAAGACAAACTTATCACACACATTGAACCAAACCACAAACTACAAGGTAGTATTGGTGAACGAATAAAAATTTGCAAATATCAGATATTCAAACCTAATGTAGCTTATCCTATGAGTGTTGCGAACCAATACATGCATGAGCCTCGAGAACCATGTCTAAATGCATATAGTCATATTCTAAGGTATTTAAAATTTGCACTAAGAAAAAGCTTACTTTTCTAGGCATAATCACATCAAGGTAGAGGGTCTAAATGATGCGAGTTAGGCTGAATCTCTTGATAATAGAAATCCTACAATGGGTTATTATATAAATTTGATTAATAGGAGTAAAAAGCACGCTATAGTGGCAAGATCAAGTTTAGAAGCTGAATATAAAGCCATGGCATAAGGAGTCTATGAGCTACTATGGCTAGAAATTGATGAATGAATTGAAATTGTCATTTGCAAGAGTTGACAATGACATTTTGATAACAAGGCTACAATTAGCATCACTAACAATCCAGTTGAATATGATAAGATCAAACACATTGAGATTAAGTATCACTTTATCAAAGAAAAAATTATGCTGCAGTATTCTAAATACCCTCCATGTAAACTCTGCAACTCCATGAGTTAATTTGCAAGAGGGGTATGAGAGACATCTATGCACCATCCTGAGAGAGTATGGATAATGAGATTGTTGACTACCAAGATTCAATCCCTATTCTCTTATTTCAAAGAAAAAAAAAAGATTTGATCCTTATTCTCCGAACATTCTGTAAATATTACCTATTTAATTGTAGAGCTGTATCCATAATGTCCTTCCAAAAATATTGTAATTGCGTATAAATGTGTAAATGAGCATCATAATAAAACACATAGAAAATTCACATCTTCTCTATGATTTGATCTCCCTCTCGAGCTTGGACCACGAATCACAACAACAATATTTAATTTAGGTGAAAGAAAGTACCTTGTATTGTTTCCCTAGTTCAAGTATTGCAGAATCAACATCCATTTTCAGCGTATTTACACGGAGGTATCGAGGTTTTATAAGATCTGCATCACAAATTAGCAAACTGGATTTAGATAAAGCTTTTCGCCGGACTTGTAACAGTGCCTCATATGGACCAGAAAATACATCTTATGAGAAAGGGAGGGGGGAATAACTAAAAGGATTGAGTACCATAGTCCTGTTTTAGAAGATGTTCTTCTGCATCATATCACCTTACATAAATCAACAATGTGAAAAGAGAATCTGATTCCCCCTAAAATTTTTCTTTTCCTGTCTTTATTTAATAGTATTAACTGCAATATCAACTAAATGGCCGTCTTAAGTCCTTCCAGACTAATAGCTCTAGAACCAAAATGCCCAAACAAAACAAATTACAAAAGAAGCAAAATCAGGAATGTGAGTAAGAAAGAGCACAGCGCACCAGTAGCAGAAGACAAATGCATCAAGTCTTCAATACACCTCACTTTTTTTCTCACCAGTAGCTGCGCTAAGGCTACTTGTAAAGTGTCTTTCTGAAGCATAAGAAACTTCTCTGCATCACCAACTGATGAAATAGCCTAGACAGTAAAATTAATGGAAATATCAACACATTCATCCGAGAACCAAGGAACACAACACATTCATGTAGAAGCACATAAGAATTTGCTCCATTGAAACCAACTACTGCTTAATGGATTCATCAAGTGCTGAAAATAGAGAGACCCACCAAATAAGTGTGTTCAATACTTCCAGTGAAAATAAATCTGATGAGCTATAAAGACAGCATTGTCACATCCCGGCATGAATCACGCACACAAGATATGAAGCTGCCTTTGGTACAGAGGATCCTACAACACTACGAGCACTCACTTATAATCCTACAGCAATTCCTTTGCTTCACCTTGCCAACCAGCCATCATCCACTAAATTTTGGAGTGCAGAACTGTTTCTTGGTACTGTAAAGAAATAAACAGAACTCACACATAGAAGAAAAGACTTGCCAATTTACCTGGCCAAAAAGAATCTCGTAACATATTATATAAATCAACGTCTCTTGCCTCTGCACCAGCAATGAAGATTAAGTATTAGGTAGACATTTCAAGAACAGGGATTTCTTTTTCCAGGATTTTATCCCGCAAAAAATGTAGACATTTCAAGAATTTTGCGTTTCTAGCAATTAAGTGCGATCAATGTTCTTGAATTTGTCAAAGCTAAAGTACAAGAAAAAGAAAAGATAAAAATATATTTAACTGCTAACAAACATATATCATAGAATATACAGTTATACCTTCCATCTATTGTTTAGGATGTTAGCACTCCCCAGCACATCCTTTATGATAGGAAGATCTGAAAACAACTCAAACAGACAAATGAACATAGAGCAAACAATCAGTAAATTCAATTGATGCTAATGAAAGAAAAAACTGCATGAACCCATTAATTTGAGATTTTTCCACGCAAGACTACAATGTAATCCCCAACTTTAAGTAACATATGATGAGAAAGACTTCAAACCCGAACTCATAATGATCACTTGATAAGTCATCTAAAAGGTAAACAACTTCCAAAATGCTACCCATAATAAACAAACTTCAACAAGCACAAAATAGAACAGAAAAAAGGAAAAAGCAAACGTACACTTGAGGGTTTTACACACAAGAGCCAGTGTTGCTCTTTTATTCCTAATAGTAGGGTCGTAGACGAGGGACTTGACGGAGCCGACAGCTTGGCGCCGGCCGTCGCCTTGGATGACGCACCGCAAAACTTTTGCCGCCTCCCTCCTGGCAAAGTAAGCCGACCGCTGAGCGCTGCTGAGCCGTTGATGTTTCGACTTTTCGGCGCCTTTCGAGGACGCCCTTGCTTTGCTATGCACCATGGTTGCAGAGCTCGATCCCTAACAAAATTGCTGTTCGACGATTCAAGAGTTTCCACTGTTTGGTAGCTTAATTTTTTTTTTGAAAAGTAAATCGTTAAAACTCTCTACTAATAGGGAATTATTGTTATATTAATTTGAAATATTTGTTTTAAGTTTTAAAAAATCGAGAGTATTTGGAATTTAATTTGTAAATTTATATTAAAATGATTAATTAAATGTCCGAATATTTTTTAATTCAGTTAATTATCTAATTTTCTAAATGTTATTTATTTGAGTTTTCACTTTTTGATCTTGAGTAACTAAAAGTACTTTGTATTTATAATTAAGTAATTTTACATAACATTGTTAAATACATACAACACATGGTATGTTAGTTATTAAGCTAATGTGCATGATGTATCTTGTTAACATATTAATAAATTTAAAAAATATATTTTTAATTATATATGTTTTATAATTTAAAATAGCTAAAAAAATGCTCATGATCTGTCCATCACATCAATAGATCTTGCATAGAAAAAGGCTCTGGCTAAAGCACTAGCAGTAGATCTTATAGCTATGTCCCTAATCAAAGGAAACTAAAGTAATTTTAGTAGGCACGCCCACTCATAGTAAAAGAAGAAAGACATGTGCATTGCTAGCCAGTTATAAATTATATATACCCATATTCATTACATTATTTATTAATCAATCATCTGAATCCATAAATGTCTTTTTCCAGAGCGAGATCGAATTTTTGGATCATAAGTAGCTTTTTCGAAAAGGCCGCCTATATCTCAAAATCTATCTGGTACTACTTATGCTTATGTTGCTAAATCAACTGCATAATCAATTGGATCAACAAGTCAAATTTTATCTGCTTGCTTGAACGCCTGGTTCTCTTCTCCTAATAATGTCATATGGTGGACGTTAATTCAGCTTCTTTTTTTTTTTTTTTCCTTCTTTGATCTGTCTTATAAACGAGTGAGAGTCTCTCGACCTGAGTAGAAGTGTCAGTCATGTCTGGATTGCCCAATAAAAAAATGCCCCTTATAGGACTCTATTTTAATTTTCACACCTGCCAGAAGCACTTACTCTCACAAATGATTCTTAACTTTAAGGTCTTTGTTTTTTTTGAATAAATTTCAATAATAAATAATTAATATATAGTAATAAAGTTAATTGAATAACAATGACACAAGATAATAATGATAAAAAAAAATTTTATATTTGGATGATTGTATATTAATATATGTTAATTATAATTATTTTGTTTGAATAAAAAGATAGTGTAACTGTATTTTCAGTCAAATTATTAATTTATTCATACCGTATTATATATAATACTAAATGATATATAAAAAATATGTAATGAAATAAAATAAATTATATAAGAATATAATTAAATATGTATTTAAATAAATAATTATTACATATACTTAAATTAAATTTTTATATTTGATAAAATAAATAATTATTATTTATATTATCACATTAATTTAATTTTAATAAAAATAAAATTATTTATATATTAAAAACAAATGCTTGTAATTATTTATTATTATATTAAATTTAAAATTATTTCAAAATATAAAAAATTAAAATATATTTAAAAGAATCATTTATTTAATAGAGTATAACAGAAATTAAGTATATTTAATGAGGGTATAACAAAAATTCAATTATTTGTCCGTCACATACCACCGGTGATTTTTAAAATTTATCCAAAATGTGTCAGTCGTATATCGTTTATTATCATCTCATCATGTTAAATGTTGAAACAAACATGATTTTATCATGCTCGTAGAGTACCACACATTAATTGACTATTATTTATTACTATCCAAATAGAAGGTAATTGTAACACTGGAACCTGAAAATTTGGCTCGGGATAATTTAATATTAACAAAATAATAAATCAAAACAATCTTAATTTTAATTTTTTGTTAATTTTTGGAGAAATATAGATTTGGGATGAAATTGAAATTAATTTTGGAAAAACAGGGTGAAATTATGAATAAGATGGGGTGTATTTGAAAGAGAAATTTAAAACAGGAGATCAAATCGCAAAAAAGAGAAATACGGGCCACGTGGGACGGCCACGTTAGCAGCAACGATGAGTCAGAACGCCCCACGTGGCGGACACGCTAGCATTGATTTCACACGGGTGATCTGCATGCCTAGGTGATCTAAGGACAGATCGCATCCCTCGCGCACGGATAACCCATATCCATTTTCTCTTCGGACGCGATCGAACGACTAGATTTGATCGCGATGGATGACCCAAATTTACACATGGTTCAACCTAAACGGGCTTTAAATCGGATGATCCTCCTCGTTCCACGTCGACGCAAATGGACGGCTAAGATTAGGGGAAGAGAGGTATTTAAATCTCTCTTTAGTCGGTCCCAAAACCCTAGCAGACACCCCTGACCAGAGAAGAAGAAGAAGGGTGGCCGGAGGAAAGCTCAACCACTTGAAGGACGCCATAGTCGCTGCACCGGAGCCACCATCGACGTCGTAAAAGATAGAATTTTTGTCCTTCCTGCTCAGAATTGAATTCCAAACCTCCCCACACCCATATGGGAGCAAAAAGGGCAACGAGTGAGACGAAAAACGCGAGCGAAGCTTGGCTGAGCGGCCACAACTCGAAAACCTCTTTAATGACCCCCTTCCCATTTCCTGTTTTTTTTTTTATTTTTTAACCATCGTGTTCTTTGTTTCTTTTTGGTACAGGTTAGCTGAATAAAAACTCCAACCGCAAATGAGGAATGATGGAGTCGCTGCATCGGGAGACCCCTTCGCCAGTAGGGTCTCTATTTTTCCCTTTCCCGGCCGACAAATGCTTTGTAACCTCGTTTTTCACAGGTTTCCATGGAAAACTGGCCAAAACTGGCCGAAAATAACCAGACCGAAAGGAACTACAGTCGTGGGCGACGAAGTCGACTCTGGAGCACGGCGGCGGAGTCAGCGTCGGAGCACAGCAGCGAGGTCAGCGCCAGAGCACGGTGGCGACATCATGCCGAAACCTTAAACCAGCTGAAAAAGTTTTAAAACACTTATTTTGACCTTTTTGAGATATTTTTTTGGATACGTGACATGTATTTTTTATTTCTACAGGAAAAATTCAGGAAACCTAGAAATCGTTAGGGGACGCAATGAAAAGAACGGTGTTTCAAACATCGATCTGGAGTAAGAATCCCTCACCTCTTTCTCTCGTTACGGTAAATTAAAGTCTAATAATCAATAAATGGTGTGTTTTGTAAAAAGATGCAAATCCCTAAATTAATTATATATTAGTAGTGGAGCTGAAACTGGTCAATGTATATTTTCTATAACTTTGTTATTTATTTTCTCTTATACTGTCTAAAATACTTACTGTTACATCGTGTGCTTTAATTTATTGATTTTAACTGCTTCCTCATTTATCTAGTTTATCTACCTGTGTTGTCCTCATCTGTTGATTGGTTTGCAATAAATGTCTTGATCATGTTTTCCTTAGTTATTAATCTATAGTGCTTGTGTAATTATCACTCTATTATTATGTAAATATCGAATAAGTTGGTGGCGTGTGATTGGTGGCTGGTGAATGATATGAATATATATGCCAAAGGGCTTATCGGGTACCCTGGGTATGGGTATATAGACCCGGTGTAGAGAAAAACTCTACCGTGGAAGTTACCTCAATCAAACAGGGGTGAAAAGTCTCATACCGAAAGGGGTTGAGAGATATAGATCACCCTCATATCGGATGGGGTATCGAGGTAGTAGTATATTTGGCGCCCATTATTGAACAGGGAATGGGAACCACGGATTGATTGATAATTTAATATTGGGTTTACGTGTAAGGAAATATCCCTATGGACCTTCAGAGATACTAGTAAGCAAGTAAGGAGATAAGTTTATTATTATTATTCCTTTAAGTGTGAAATAAAAATGTTATTCGAGTTATTGTTTTCATAAGTCAATTTTGGAAACTCATAAGAGTAAGTCTGAAATAACGTTTTTTAAGGTAAACGAATTTATTTAAAAAAAATAATGGTTCGATTGGTTGTTTGACAATTTTTACCAATGTTTGATTTTTTGGTTAAGTGTGATATTCTTATTAGGTTAGTGTAGTTTATCCCCCTTATTTAACCATTTCATATTAGGAAGATCAAGATCCAAATTCTGAAGAGTAAGAAGGTTGTGAATAAAAATTACCTCCCAATTCCATCAAAGTTTTCTAGTGGAGGTTAACCCCATAGGATTTTTAG